TTCCTAGGAGTGAAAATCCTAGGTCAAAAGGGTATGAATATTTGTGATTTTGATTACTTTTGATTTCTGTGACTATTGCCAAATTGGGCTCTGTGAGTGTGTTACCCATTTTTACTCCCACCAACAAAGAGGAGAGGCCTGTTTCCTTAAACCCATACCCTCTTCAACTCTTTTTTAAAGATTTTATTTATTTGAGACAGAGAGAGAGAGAGTGAGCAAGAGAGAGCATATGGGGGGGGAGGGTCAGAGGGAGAAGCAGCCCGATATGGGACTCGATCCCGGGACTCCAGGATCATGACCTGAGCTGAAGGCAGTTGCTCAACCAACTGAGCCACCCAGGCGCCCCCCTCTTTACCTCTTAATGAAACTTTTTGGGCATTACAAATTAAGTTAAACACGATTTGCATTTCTCTTATGGTAAATGAGTTTAGGCATCTTTTCATATATTTGAGAGTTCTTTATATTTCCTCTCCTGCGAAATATCCATATAATTTTTCTGTCCTTTATTATTGAACTATTGGTGTATTTCTTTTTTTTTTTTTTAAAGATTTTATTTATTTGAGAGAGAGAGAGAGAGAGCACAAGAGGGGGGAGAGGCAGAGGGAGAGGGAGAAGCAGACTCCCCGCCGAGCTGGGAGCCCCTGACATGGGGCTCGATCCCAGGACCTGGAGATCATGACCTGAACTGAAGGCAGACGCTTAACCTTCTGAGCCACCCAGGTGCCCTATTGGTATATTTCTTATAGATTTGTAGATTTTCATGTTTCAAAATTAGCTCTTTCTCTGCAATATGAATTATATTTTCCCTAGACTGTCATTTATCTGTTAGCTTTTGCTTATGATTTTTTACCATGCATACTTTTTACCTTTTTAATCCATATTTAAATGCATCAGGCTTTTCTTTTAGGACTTCTGCGTTTTGTTTTCATACTCAGAAAAGTCCTCTTCATTCCAAACTATTTACTGCCGTGGTATTCTTGCCAAAGATGCATACCCTCAATCCAAATGGAGAGACATTCGGCAAACCCACTCACCAGGACTCTCCAAATGTGTCAAGATGGTGAAAGGCAGAAAAAAAGGAACCGAGGGACCGTCTCAGGTTCAAAGCCTAAGAGTGACGAGTAAATGCGATGTGAAATCCTGATTTATTTATTATTTATTTTTTTAAAAGATTTTATTTATTTGACAGAGAGAGAGAGAGAGAACATTAGCAGGGGGAGCAGCAGAAGGAGAGGGAGAAACAGGCTCCCCGCTGAGCAGGGAGCCCCATGCGGGGCTCGATCCCAGGACCCTGGGATCATGACCTGAGCCAAAGGCTGATTTAGAGGCTGAGGCAGAAAAGGGTAATTAGTGGGAAAGTTGGCAAAATTCACATCAGAGCTGTCGATGAGGTCATAGTATGGCCACAACGCTAATTTCCTGGTTTCCATAATCATGACGCAGCCACGCAAGATGTTAACATCTGGAAGAGCTGGGTGAAGGCTATACAGGAGATCTGTACCATTTTGCGACTTTTCAGTAGGTCTGAAATTAGTCAAGATAAAAGGTTTAAAATGTCAAGTTTTCTTTCAGTCCTTCTATGCTTGTATTTTTTTTACAGTCACCTTTGATCTACTGGTAATAGTGGTGTAAGGTATCGATCCATATTTTCCCCCCAGATGGCGACTCAATTTTCTAATAACCTTTATTGACTAATTTTTCTTTCCCCCACTGGCCTTTTATTTTTAAATGTATTTAACTTTTTTTTTTCAAAAACTTTATTTATTTGTCAGAGAGAGAGAGAACAAGCAGGGGGAGCAGACAGAGGAAGCAAACTCCCCGCTGAGCAAGGAGCCCGACGCAGGACTTGATCCCAGGACCCTGAGTTCATGACCTGAGCCGACACTTAACCGAATGAGCCACCCAGATGCCCCAAATCATCTATTTAATTTTTAAACTGTCAGAAATACATAAAATTTACCATCTTGACCATTTTTAAGCATACAATTCAGTACTGTTAAGTACATTCATGCTATTTTACAACCAATCCCCAGAATTCTTCTCATCTTGCAAAACTGAAACTCTCTACCCCGTCAACAATTCCTCACCCCCATCCCCTCAGCCCCTGGCATCCACCATTCTACTTTCTGTCTCTATGACTCTGACTACCCTCGGTACCTCAGAGAAGTAGAATCAAGCAGTATTTGTCTTCTGTGACTGGCTTATCCTGGTTGACGAGCTAACTTCAAAATAAAAATGAAAACCTATTTCTGATGCTAACTGGCAAAGCCTCTGGGGTGGACTAAGAGACGGAAAGTTGAAATGCTTGTAGTACCTACTTCTGGAGTTTGGGTGAAGGAAGTTAGGCACAGAGAGGTTAAGCGACCTGTTGCCAATCACACAGCCAAGAAGGGGAGGGACACTTTGAACCCTGGATGGGCTCCACAGCTTGCTCCCATGGTCTTTGCCCTGGACTGGGGCTCACATAAGAGAGCCTACACTTGGAAACCAGCAGCATCTAGATTTGTTTGAGGACAAGAGGTGGGTGAAGCTATCCAAGGAACTGCTGATGAATGTTTAACCAGCTATCCAGGAGTGCCTGGGTGGCTCAGTCGGTTAGGTGGTTAGACCTGCCTTTGGCTCAGGTCATGATCCTGGGGTCCTGGGATTGAGCTCTGAGCCCTCAGCAGGGAGTCTGCTTCTCCCTCTCCCTCTGCCCCTCCCCTGCTTGTGCTCTTGTGCACACACTTTCTCTAACGAATAAAATCTTAAAAACAAAAAACAAAAAACCCACCACCAGTTCTCCAAAAATAGTATGCATTTATAAATGGTTATTATAAATCTTACTGAGTCAAAGGATGTGTAACAGAGGATTTACAAATAATAATAAAACATACAATATTATTTATTGTAAATTCCACTCTTGTATTCATGACTTCATAGATGGAGTTGTGTCCCAACTCCAGGGGTATCTCCAGTATGAATGTTGGTTGATATTTTTATTTACATTTTTGAGTAAGACAAAAATGAAACATTGAGAATATGTTGAGACTTCACTCATTCCTCAATGACTTGACAAACTTCTTTGCTGAATCTGACAATAGTTTTCAACATCTGGGGGGATATTTCCTCCATTTTGTGTGCTATTCACAATGTAACAGACGTGACATTTTTAAATTTAATCTGCGTTATTAGCATTTTCTCCATCATCTTCTGAAATCTAGACAATCAACAAAGCCTGATATGTAGTGTTTGCCAATTTCTGTGGTATAAATCCTCCTACCAAGGCCAAATTCAAAATACCAACTTGATATCTATATGAGTTGGGAAGAGAAACACAAGTAGTAGCCAATCCTTATATAGCACTCCCACCATACAAATACAATAAATGTAAATAAGCTCGAGAGCACATAATAGTAAAATGTAGAAAATAGGAACCTGAACCTAATGGAACATGTGTGTCAACTGTACTCAATAAAAATAAAATTCTTACAAACTAAAAAAAGAAGCAGAGGGCGCCTGGGTGGCTCAGTTGGTTAAGCGACTGCCTTCGGCTCAGGCCATGATCCTGGAGTCCCGGGATCGAGTCCCGCATCGGGCTCCCCGCTCAGCGGGGAGTCTGCTTCTCCCTCTGACCCTCTCCCCTCTCGTGCTTCCTATCTCTCATTCTCTCTCTCTCTCAAATAAATAAATACAATCCTTTAAAAAAAAGAAGAAAAAAAATAACCAGGAAGTAATGAGTTTTGAGTCGTACCTTTTTTTTAAATTTTATTTTATTTAAATGAGTATTACCTCTGTTTCTAAATATAAGTTGTGAGTTTACATAATTTCTGATAATAGCTGTGGTGCAAGAGCCCACAATGTTTCCGAAAAACAAAAAGTCGGCTTTCCCAAATCATCGAACCACACCAGTGGGTGCGGGTGACAGCCAGATTGCAGTGGGATGTGACCTTCCTGAGCGGCCTGTAAGCCCGGCCGGCCATGTCCGCCTTCCTTGGCCTCGGCAATCTGCCCCTCCACCTCTGCTCCAGCCACACTCTGGGACCTCACTCCCCACCTTGGGCAAAGTGGTCTCTACTCCCAAGCCTCTGCAATCCTCCCCTGGGGCACTTACCACAATGTGCTAGGCAGTTACTCTGGGAGTAGGGGGCAAGTGTGTGTCTTCGTGAGCCCCAGTATCTGTGATGGCTGAGGCCGAGCATGGGTCCTCGTCACCACGACTCGCTCCGTACCCACCACAGTGCTCTGCAGTAAGTATTTGCTGAACACACGCTCAGGATGAAGGGCTGGGGCGACAAGAGGGTCGGGAAAGGCTGTGTGTGTGAGACACCACCTTGGATGCCTTCTGCTGGTTTAGGATGGCGTGGGCTCCACTATTCAGGGCTGAAAAATATAGAGAACCTTCCCGATTCGTAGGAAATAGGACCTTGAAAACACTCATCCTGGGACAGGGCAACCCCTCCGACGACTGGGGCGTCTGCACAACGCCCAACAGTGTATTTCAGAAACTACCCCCCGTGTGCGTACAAACAGAGCTGGGGGGTTCCCACCAAAACCCTGATACCCCCGCAGGTAAGCTGAACCCCGGTTTCTGAGCGGGTGGTCTTTCCTGCCATGGAGAAAAAACAGAAGTCCGTAACACCAAGCACGAAAAAACACGAACAGGGAGTTGAGGCACACATCTGTTCTCCAGAGTTAACCGGGACGGTGGAAGCTCAGAAGTAACAGACACCTGACACCGAGCAGTGGAGTACGCTCCCGGAAAGATAAAAACCCCGCGTCCGGGAGCCTGAGCCTCCGTAACATGGCCCACCGCTAACCAGTAACCCCCGGAGCAAACCCTCCCCCGGGGAAAAACACCCTCCCACTAAAGCCCAAACACGCTTAAAGCGGAAAACCACACGTGAACACCAGAACATACACGCAGTTACGAGCAAACCTAGACACCAAAAAAAAAAAAAAAAAAAACAAAAACCCAACCTCCCATTTCTGTACACACAAAATAAAAGTTGATCGTCAGGCAGAATCAGACAGGAGCGACCGGGGTGTTGCAAGTCCCGGCCACGCAGAGACGCTAATCACGTATCATGCAAGCTCCAATCATCATATTCCGATCTGCCCTCCGGAAGGAGGAACAGGTAAGGATTATCCTACCTGACGACAAAACCCCACCCCTGCGTATTCCTTACTCAGGGCGAACGATGCCGCTAACGGCTAGGGTGAGTAAATAACGCGCTAGCCCCAGCAACTGAAGTTATCGAGGGTCTTCCATTTTATTGCTATATGTATTTACAGATATTAAAAAACATTCCCCCCTCAACTGGCTGCCAAAAAACCCATAAACTAATCCCTCCCAGAATGCCCCACTCAGGAGTTTGGCACCCTAACGGCAGACACCACTCATATTTACATATCCCCGCCTACTTCCTGCCGCCAGACGCTACCGTAATGACCAAAATAAAAGCGAAACCCAGGATCTTACAGTCTGCAAGGCTGTAAAACAGCCTTCCGTTTCTTTCTTTCTTCTTTTTCTTTTTTAAATTATTTATTTATTTATTTGACAGAGAGACACAGCGAGAGAGGGAACACAAGCAGGGGGAGTGGGAGAGGGAGAAGCAGGCCTCCCACGGAGCAGGGAGCTCGATGCGGGCCCGATCCCCGGACTCTGGGATCATGACTTGAGCCGAAGGCAGATAGATTCTTAAAGACTGAGCCACCCAGGCGCCCCAGCCTTCCATTTCTTTAGTAGTTTGTCCACCCCAATTCTCCCCTAAACGTTTTGTAAGTCTTGATCTTACTCTAAAGTATATTTTATTACAAAGTACTAAATAAAACGCTGATCATCCCAGACTCGAGTGATAATTACCCTAACAGGAACACTGACATCCTCCACCAAATGCAGTAGGCGGAGGACTGCAGACGGCCTTTCTTGTTCCGTGAATGGTGAGTGGTCCCTTGATCCTCCAACCTTCAATCCTATGCTCCCGTCATGAAGGTATCAGAAAGGTTTCTTTTTTAGCCCAAAGACGCTGACGAATAATGCCATTTCAGTGATAGCTGGGAGGGCACTGTGGACAGTAGGTGGTGAGTTCAAGGATCCTTCCAAAAAAAAGAAACCCAAATCCCCAAACCAGAGACTCCACCCCAAAAGTGTAGGAGAGGGGGACTTCAAGAGACTATGCTGAGAGGCATGCTGAGTGGATCTGCTATATCTCACATGGAGGATATCCTGGATATGCCTTGGATGGGGGGGAACCTTCAGATTGAATAAACCTCCCTCCCCCATCCCCAAACATTGGATGCTACCATACCTGCAGAAGACAAAAATGTACCAGTACGTGGTGCACTCCCAACGCTCGAATATGAAAAAGGACAGGGCCACAGATGCACTACAGTGAGCCCCAATGGCTTGGGAATGCACCAGAGTCAAGGAAAGCCTTTGGTTCAATAGGTAGTGATAAGCCAGAAAAGGCCGTTGCCGGGACGGGCGTCTGCACTCAGGTTCACCCCTAGCTCCCTCACCATACTGCAACGGCAAGAGCCCGCAGCCCTGACTTCTCTGAGTTTTAGGACAGCCCTATGGGTAGAGACCAGACAGCCAGAGAGCCGGTATCTAGGGGCTAGCCTGGACCCTTCAGATCCAGGAGTAGGCTCCCCTTCTGCCCCAGGCACACAAGAAGGCTCGCAGTGACCTGATACACTGCTGGAATCATATGCAACGCCGCGGTCCTCCCAGGCTACAATTCGAGCGTCAAGGGCCTTCCCTGCTCCATCTTCCTCATTTCTGTCTTTCTCGTCTATTTATTTATCTTGCTGTCTCTTCTGAGTTTCCACAGTGCTTCTTCATACTTTACATGCTCACCCTGAGTTACAGATGTCTGTCTGAGTATCTGCCTCTTCCTCAAGGTGGAAAACTGTGTTTTACTCCCATCTGGGATCTCCAGTGCCTGCTGCACGGCGGGAGCTTCACAAACTACTGAAGATCGTATTAAAACTTCCACATTGCCTAAGAAGATCTACCAACTGGAGAGACCGTTTGCCCCCCCGCCAGAGCGCACACCGTCGTGCCAGAAAAGCCGAGTTAGGTGGCTGGAGGGAGTCGAAATGGAAACGGGCCGTGCGTCAAAGGATACAGATGAGGCTCTGAGTGCTGTTGAACATGGAAACTCCGGAGAAGAAACCCGCCAGCTCCACAGCAAAGAGGCCCAGGGTGACGGACAGCGCTACCACCAGCCTGAAGAGAGGAAAGGGGCTGGCTCAGGCCTCCGGGACTTCTTCAAAGACCCCGCCACTCCCGCTACTGCTGAATTCTGACCACCCTGCCCCCCAAGTGCTCACTGAAAGTCCTGCTTCTCATACTCCTCCTGGGTGAACGTGAGAGGCAGGCAGGCCTGGATGTTGCTGTCCTGGGGAGCAGGGCAGAGAGGAAGAAAGTCAAAGAGGGGCGGGCTGCGGGGCAGCACTGGGGTCAGCGGGGGATGGGAGGGCTCGCCCCCGTGAGGTCGTGGGGAAGGGGCGCGGAGGGGCTGGGAGCACCCCTAAAAGGTGGGATTGGGGTGGGCGGCGGCAGGGGGGCGGCCGTGGGTCTTACCCGGGACCAGAACAAGGTGATGACGACCACCAGATGCGCCAGGAGCGTCAGGAAGCGAGAGGGCACGAGCCCCGAGATGCGGCCCATGGCCCCCCGGGGGCAGCGGTGCCGACTGCAGCGGAGGCCGCGCTCTGTGGGGCTGCACGCTCAAGAAGGGCCACTCCTCAAGTCTCGCGGGCTGGCAAGCAAAAATTCGACGGACGCCTCCTTCCCGCTCGCGCCGGCGCCGCCCAGTTGCCTTGGCAACCGCGTCAGCGGGGGGAGCGGCCGGATCTCGGAAAATCTCGCGAGGGCAGTCAATTCTCGAGCGGCGGCGGCCTTGGTCTCTGGGGTGCCGCGCCAGTCGGGGGTCGGCCGCGAGGGGCGTCGTGCAGCCCTCGGTCGCCGCCGCGTGGCCCGGGAGGGCCCTCCGCCCGAGGCGCTCGCCGGAGACCAACGCCCCCGCCACGCCGGTCTTAAGGCGCCGGCGGGCCTGAGGCAGGGACACTCTCTCCCTCCTCCGCCTCCTTGTGGCTCCCCCACTGCCCTGGGCCCGAGCAGACGCGGGAACGAAACGCGGAGACGTGGATGCCCCCGCATTGCACGGCTGTCCCTTATTACATGGTCACGGGGTCCCTGATTATCCGAGGACCCCGGACCGGAACCTTCCTTGATTCTCCGACACCACCTCCCCCGCCCCCCACCGAGTCCCCAGACGACTGGGCTCGGATTGGCGAGGGGATCGCAGAGGGCAGAAAATGGCCAGCACTCTACGTGGATGAGAGCGCGTTTGGAGAAGGGAGTGGGTGACCGGGCGGAAGGGCAGGGAGCCCCGCTCCCCTGGGAGGCAAGGAGCGGGCGGCGACGCAGACTCAGCTCTGATTTCATCTCTCCGAGGTGTGGGCACCCGACTTGGCCCAGCTGCGGTCCAAGAACCTCTGTCAGCGTCCTCACTGACCTTGGGTCCTCAGCTGGGATCCTTGCAGAAGGGAAAGTTCTCGCCCGAGCTCCCTGCTCCCGGGTCAGGTCACAGCGTCCCCGGGACCTCCCCGGCCCATTTACCAGATCATCTCTCTTCCTCCTCTCCACCCCAGTGCTTTCAGGCCGGTCTAAGCTAAACACGCACGCCCAGGGGGCGCTTCTGATTTCTAAATCCATTCGACAAATATCCGTTGACCAGCTAGCAAGTGCTGAGCTCCTGTTCTTGACAAGACAGAAGGCTCTACCTTCCTGGAGTTTATATTCTAGTCAGGGAGATTGACATGGACAGCAAACATGCGAACAAATAATAAATTCGCAGGGTAAGAGGTGCTATAAACATATTTTTAAAAGGGAGACGCTAGAATAACAGATCGAGGAAAGACCCTCCGAAAAATGAGTCATTTAATCTTCAACTTTGTTGTAGTAAATGTCAGATTGAGAGGAAACGCATTTCTCTGTTTGAGGACCCCAATATAATAAGCAGATTTCCTTTTTCTAAACCAGTGGGTAAAAAAATTCAGAACTCAAAGAGATAGCAAGGAGGTGTTTGTTCAAGGTCATGAAAGACAAAGACTGAAGAACTCTTCCAGATTTAGGGAGATTAAAGGGATGTGACAAATTTGACTTGAGAAATATCATGGATCTTGGACCAGAAAAAAACAAAAACAAAAAAACCCCACTTTCTTTCACTGCGAAGGACACCAGTGGAACAATTGGCAAATTGGAATAAGATCTCTAGTTTAGATATCAGTATTATCCATGTTAACCTCCTGATTTTTGATAATTCTACTGCCTTTATGGAAGAGAATGTCCTTGCTAGAAAATACACACTATTTTAGGGGTAAAGGAGCATTATGTCTGCAATTTACTCTCAAATGGTTTGGAAAAATATGTGTCTATAGAGACAGAGAGGCAATGTTAGAGCGAACATGGTCTCGAAGGCACATGGGAATTCTCTGTATTTTATATATATATATATATATATATATATTTTAAAGATTTATTTATCTGAGGAGCACCTGCGTAGCTCAGTCGTTAAGCGTCTACCTTCAGCTCAGGTCATGATCCCAGGGTCCTGGGATTGAGCCCCACATAGAGCCCCACTTTGGGCTCCCTGCTCAGCGGGAAGCCTGCTTCTCCCTCTCCCACTCCCCCTGCTTGTGTTCCCTCTCTCGCTGTGTCTCTCTCTCTGTCAAATAAATAAATAAAATCTTCATTTAAAAAAAAAGATTTGTTTATTTGAAGGGGTGAGGGCCAGACTGGGAGGAAGAGAGAGAACCTCAAGCCGACTCTCCGCTGAGCGTGGAGCCCAACAGGGGCCAGATCTCACAACCCAGAGATCATGACCCATGAGATCATGACGGGAGCTGAAACCAAGAGTCAGACGCTTAACCAACTGAGCCAACCAGGCGCCCCTTATATTTATTTTTTAAGTAAGCTCTACACCCAACCTAGAGCTTGAACTCCCGACCCCTGATCAACAGTCAGGTTTTCTATGGACTGAGCCAGCCAGGTGCCCCTCTCTGTATTATTTTTGCAACTTTTTGGTAAACCAGATTATTTAAAATAAAAAGTTTTAAATGATAACCCTTTTCTAAGGTTTCCTTCTGGGTCTTCTATAATATCATTGAGACATTAAATTGCTTTATAAAAAGAAGGGATGATTTCTGGATTGGTGGTCCCTACATGTTAAACTCCTATATACTGAAACTATACAGTGACATTTTCCTATAAAACCACCTCTTTAGAGGGGCAGTACAGCCTTAATCTCATAATGGAGACAATGTGGTCCCAAAACCCATAAAATAAAAAATGCAATCATTTAGACTTTTCAGAGGAATTACTTGTATAAAGAGTGAGATTCAGCCAAGTCTCTTTTTTTACTTCAAAAATATTGGATGGTAATCAAATATACCTTCACGGGTTTCTGAGTTCTCAGGTGTGTAGGGAGGTTCTCTCTTTAACTGTTGAACCTTTTTAAAGTTCTGAAAATGTTTTCAAACCTCCGCCACCTCAGGAGGACAGGCAAAGTACAGTGGACCCCACTGCTTCTCTCTCTGGAGGTGACCCCCATCAGTATGAGACCCTCAAAACAAGTGACAGTGTTGACATCCTAAATACAATGAGAGGTGGGCTCCATGTGCTCTCCACCATGGAAAGCACAGCATAGCACGTGCGAAAACATTCTGAGCACGCAGATAAGATGCAAGGACTGAAGGGCTCCCCCCTCTGCCTATAACTCCTAAGACTTTGCTCCTGGGAACGGGAAGCCCAGGCTGTCAGAACCAACCTCCCCCAGTGACAGTTGATCAAGTGTGACTATTCACAGATGAAAGAAACGCTGTCATCCGTCGGAAGTGAGCAAAACCCAGGACCTGTTTCTGCAAGATTTTCCAAGGTCCCAGAACGAATAGAACGAAGAGAAGGAGTCAGCCAGCCGTGTGAAGATGTGGGGAAAGAACTTTCCAGACAGAGGCACAGCAAGGGCAAAGGTCCTTAGGTGGGAACGAGGCCAGTACGTTCATTTAACAGAAGGGAAGCTAGTATGTCTGAAGGCTAGTAACAGCGGGGGGTAGAAGAGAAGAGGGTGGGGTGGGCAGACACGGTGCATGGCCTTGCAGCCAGGGGGAGGGACCTGGTCAGGTCTGTATTCTAGAAGATGACTTTGGATGCAATGTGGAGAATCGATTTTGAGATGTTAAGTAGCAGGCTTGCGAAGAAGCTGCATAGTGATCCCAGGACAGACAGAGTGAGATTGGACCAGGGTGGAATAAAGAAAGTGGAGCAAAGTGTAAGGAATCAAGAGATCATTAAAAGATAAGAAGGTCTAAACTTGGGGCTATGAGTGGATGAGAAAAGGAAGGGGTCAAGGAGGACAGATTGGGCTCCCATAGCTGGAAGTGTGGGGCATTCTGTTTACAATAGGCTTCCTGCCTAGGGAACCTACTAGATAGTAAGAACTGGGTAGTCACTTTTCACACTATGAATTAATGAACAGTGAGCAGGCATTCAGGTCTGTCCTGTCACTCTCTATGATCTTGGTTCCCAGAAGCCTGTCCCACAGAGGTCACACAAAAGTAAGTGTTAGAGCCACCTTGTGGCCACAGAAGGTACTGCTGGTGACCTGGCACGTCCTTCCCTAAGCGGGATCCAAGGGCTCCAGGGCTGGAACCCACCTGTCCTAACATTTGATCTGGTCAGAAAAGCTCAGGGAAATGTTTTTTTATCATGGAAAAACTCAAACATATGTAAAAATAAGGAAAATAGAAGGATGAACCCCTTCGAAGCCTGCCATTCTGCTCCAAAAATCACCAACACATTGCCAACCTTGTTTCAGCTAGATTCCCAGCTCCCTCCCAGCCCCGCTAGGCTATTGCCAAGCAAATCCCAGGCATCACCAAATAGCTCAGACTGCCCAATATCCATCATATAGACATATGACGAAGTCCACATATTACACTTGGTTGATGTGTCTCTTAAATCTTTTTTTTTTTTTTAATCGTAGGTTCTTCTGCCTTGTTCTCCTTCCTTGCAATTTCTCTGATGAAGACACTGGGCCGTTTGTGGGCAGTGCTCTGGTCCTGTCATTTCACATGTTCCTCTATGTCCTGTGTTTTCTGTAAACTGGTTGCTAGATCTAGTGGTTGATGAATCTCACATTCGATTTTCTGGTAAATAGACATCACGGGAGTTGGCCTGTATTTCTTATTCTATCACATCAGGAGGCGCCTCCTGACTGCTTGTCTCCCTTTTTTCCCATGTTAGATGTGAGCGGTGGATTCAGGTGTAGTCAGACTGAGGCAAGCATTATAAAGTTCCCATCAGTTTTTCACCTACTGGTTTAATTGATCACGGCTGCCTAGCTTCATTATTTCAGGAGGAGTTGCAAAACAGGGATGTCTTAATTGCATTGTTCCTTTCTGCATTTGTCGCCTGTTATTCTTCTATAAATAAGAATGTGCCTTCATCCACCCGTTTACCTTGAGATACAGGTCATACAGGAAAAGCTGGATACATGTGTGATTTCTTTTTCCCCATTCATTTACCGGTTTTCAGAATAATAAGTCGATTCCCTACCATCCTCCAAAAGGGATCAATTAGTTGTTTTTAGGATGATCATTGTGAACGGGTAGATTTACCATGGTTTGTGGGTTTTGTGGGGCAGCACCTACTCGGCTTCAGGCAATTGTTTTAAGGAGATAGAAATCCAGTGTTGCCAGGTTTCTGGGAGTTTTGTTGTGGTTGTTGTTTTCTGGGGTTTTTTGTTTTGTTTTGTTTTTGTGTTTTTTTTTTAAGAGAGGCCAGAAATCCAGATTCTTACTCCAGTTATAAATGTTAGTATCCAGCTTAACGGTGAAAAAAATGAAGAGGGAGAAAAATACCCCTGATGACAACAGCATGCAACAGCCTCAAGTCACCAGCTTTCAGCCTCTGGATCAGCACTGTCCGAGAGAACTTTCTATGACAGAAATATTTCATATTGTCTCTGTCCAATGTGGTAGCCAGCTAGCTCCATGGGGCTAATGAACACTTGGAATGCAGCTAGCGGGACTAAGGAACTGAATTTTTAAATTTCAGCTTAATTTGAAAAACCGCATATTGAATAGCCACCCTAGTGGCTACCATATTGAGCAATGCAGCTCTGGACAGAATAATCTATTGGTTTCTAAAACTTGGAAACTGGTGGGATAAATGGAGATTTAAACATCCGAGAATACTCTGGATGGTGACCCTGGACTGATAATTCCTCACACCTGCTACAGAACGTTTCTGAGCCTAGAACTCAAGTCCACAATCCCTGGTACCATATTCGCTGACCCAACTTCCCCTTCTAGCAAAAATTTCCACCTCACCCCATGCTCTTCAGCTACTCAGACACGTCTCCTTCCTCTATAAAGCAGGCTCTTGCCCACGTAGTGCTTTTGCCAAATCTATCCGTCCTTAATTTCACAAATGTTTATTGAATACACATGATACTCCAGGTATTGTATGGGGTGCTAGGAATACATATTTCCTTCTCCTGAGTAACTTAGAGTGTGGTGAGGGAAACAGTTAAAAATAGTGCTTTAAAGTGTTATCCTGGAGGAGACACATCACAGGCCTCCTCTCCCAGATGGGGGGAGAAGTAGGGAGCAGGGAGCTTTTGAATTGAGTCTTGAAGGGTATGTTAAGGGTCATCCAGATGAAGGACAGTGGCACAGAGACACGGGGCACAAAAATGATTTTAAGGAACTATAAATGAGTCACCGTAGCTGTCTCCTGGGAGGTGAGGTGGCAGTGGTTGAAGAGTCAGGCAAGGACCACATATTAATAACAACCATAGTAACTGATTTATGACCAGTGAGGTTCTGAGCACTTTATCTTGGCAAATAAACTACTAGTGATCCATCACAGTCTTTACCATTTTCCGGATGGGGACATGGACACGCAAGGAGGTTCAACAACGAGCTCAAATCACACGACCAGTAAGTAGGAAAGCCTATATGTGAATATTGGCAACCCCCTTCCAGGGCCCACACTTAATAAGTTTGTGGCCTTGGGGACCCAGCCAATAAGTTAAGACGTAATCTCGAAGGGGATGGGGCACTGGTTTTATGTTCGCATTTTAAAAAGATGATCCTCTTTGGCTGTTCTGGAGGTAGAGACATCAGAGAGGAGTCTATTACAATAATCCAGCAAGAGAGGGTGGGGAGTGAGAGCCGGCGGGAGAATTATGAAGGAAAATGGAATTGACAAGACTTGAGGACTGGGAATGGGGAGGGAGGGAGAGGGAGGAGTCAAGAGGAGACAGGCTGGGAGTGCAGAGGGAGTGGGAAGGAAGGATGCCCGAGTCAATGAAAGTCACGTCGGAGAGACGTTGTGTGTGTGGGGTGGGGGGGTTGTCATCTCTGTGGTCTCTGAGGACTTTGGGAGGCACTGTACCGAATGCACAGACATTTGACTTGGAAGGGAAGGAGGGAGACACAGCATGACCTCTTTCCTCGTGTTGGCCTGTTGAACGGCTCGAGAGGCAAATGGGGGTCTCTGCTAGCTTCCAGTACCCCTCTCTGGAAGCTGCCAGCTTCATCTCACCTGGGGAGCTCTAAAACATGCTGACGTCTGTCGTGATCGAAATCAGAACAGTGGTTGCCTCTGGGAGGGGGCAGGGAGGAACTTTCTGGGGGGTGCAGGAAATGTCCTATACCTTGAATGCGTTGTGGGTTGCTTTTGTAAAAATTTACCAAAACACACACGTCAGGTCTGTATATGTCACTGCATGTAAATGATTCCCCAGAACCGTAACGAGCGACGAAATTACCCGCTGGCCTTTGAAATCAGTCTCCGAGCCGGGGGCGGGTGCTGGGGCAGGCAGGCCCCGCGGACGCCGGGAACGCGCAGCCGGGAGGAGACGCGTGGCTGCAGGAGCTGGGCTCGCGCCCCGCAGGTGCCGGGGGCTCCGGCAGCGCTCCCACACGCTCCCTCCGCCCGTCCCCGCCGGGCTGTGCGCTCCGGGGACCCCGGGGGACAGCCCGGGGCCAGGTGCTCGGGGGCAGGACTCCGGGGGCGGGGGCCCCGCGGGACGCACGAGGCGGGAGGGACCGCGCACCCCCCACGCCGCGGGAGCTTAGGAACTCCGGAAGGCCCTCGGCTCTCAGCCTCGGTCGCCGGGACCCCGGCCGGCCGCCAAGTGGCCATGGGGAGACCTGTCCAGCCCTCCGGCCGGCCGACCTCGTGGCGCAACGGTAGCGCGTCTGACTCCAGATCAGAAGGTTGCGTGTTCAAATCACGTCGGGGTCAGCTCTACTTTTTCCCGCTAGGGCTTCCGTCACTTTTATTTATTCCCCTCCCCGGCGTGTCCACCTAGCCTCGAGCGCCGGCGCCCAGGTCGGAGCCGCGCCTCGCAGGGCGGGGACGGCGAGCGCCCCTGGCGCCACGTCCCGAGCCGCCCCGTCGGGGGAGCCCAGATCTCGCCGGCTGGTGCGCGCGGATCCAGGTCCCGCAAGCGCGGGCTGGGGGCAGGGCTCCGGAGGACTGACGCGCGCGGCGGGTCGCTGGGTCCGGAGGGGAGAGGGTGGAGCGCGCGCGGGCGGGAAGATCGCTCGGCGACGGAGACGAGCGCGCTGTCCGCCACGTGGGCGGGTCCGGCGGGCGGGAGGACGAGTTCAGGCCCCAGAGAGAAGAGCGGAAGCCGCTTCTCGGCGGACGAGGTGGCCGAGTGGTTAAGGCGATGGACTGCTAATCCATTGTGCTCTGCACGCGTGGGTTCGAATCCCATCCTCGTCGGCGTGCGATTGTCGCAGCCGGGGTTCAGTTTTGTCATCCCAAAGCAAGAATTTCTCTTGTTACCTCCCACCTGCCCCGGTTCCATTTCCGCGTCACCCCAGTACTCCGCGGTACCCCACCAACCGTGGTTTTCGTCCCTTCTACTCCGTTTTCCAGGACGGCCAAAGCTTGGTTACCAGGGGGCACCTGGGCATCCACTCACCTGCAGGAGAGCTAACCTGGCCAGGGAAAGAGGGCACGTAAATCCCCAACAGTGGGTGCCGTGGCTTAGTTGGTTAAAGCGCCTGTCTAGTAAACAGGAGATCCTGGGTTCGAATCCCAGCGGTGCCTCCGCGCTCTACTGCTTTTGCGAAGAGCCTGTGGGCATCCACAGATCCATCACCTTCCCTCCCGGCATCTACCAGGAGCCTTTGGGTGGCGCTTTCCATTCCTGGCGTTTGGTGGTTGCGTGAGCGGAAGCCGCGTGCTTGTTGCCAAGCTGGGGCTCCCTATTTGCGCCCTGCTGACCCATGCCGCCGAGCACCAGAGTAGCATCTGTGCTTGCCCGGGTGTTGCCTTGCTGTTACTTTCCCAGATGCTCAGTGATTCCGCCTGCATGTCTTTTTTGCGTCTCTCAGAATGGTCCTGTCCATTTCCAATTTTTTCTGAAGACAAGACCGATCAGTAATATAAATTTTATATAGCCCCAGACTGAAAACCGGACGGTAACTGGCCGGTTAGCTCAGTTGGTTAGAGCGTGGTGCTAATAACGCCAAGGTCGCGGGTTCGATCCCCGTACGGGCCAGAAACGTAAAATGTGTTTTTTTGTCTTTTTTTTAACTTTTCACCGCTATAGTTTGTTACTGGGGAAGGTTTGTGGAGCAACATTTCCAATTCCAGAACTTTTCACACCCAAAATAGAATCATGTTGAAATTCAGTCCAAGATGGCACTGCCTTGGGGGAGGAGGAGGAAGGTTTAATAAAACTAGAGTTCCTTCTGTGATCTCTATTTATAACGCTCCCGGCCATAACGTGGGGCTCCTGGAACTTACTACGTGGACAGTAAGCTTGGAGACGTTGGAATGAACATGACACTGATCGGCGGAGGGTGGGAAATGTGGTCAGGAATGGCGGTAACAAGCGTTTCCAGTCTTCCTCCTGAGTCAAGATGTCCAGTTCACCCAGCCCCTGCCTGTCCCCTTCCAGATCTGAGAAGACAGCCCCTTCCCTTTCGGTACCGGAACACCCTGCTTGTGTTTCTGCTTTTACTGGATCCCGGAGCCCAGATCCGTGTCTCTCACGTGCCCCACCTCCCGCGTCTGCCCCCCTCCCCCATCACAGTGCTGCCTGACAGCAGGAACCATAGACCCTTGCCCATGTACTCCCGCCCGGCACCCAGCATCGGTCAAGAGAGCTCCACGAAAGAGACCGACCCTCATCCCCGCTCCTTCAGCTCATCAATCCCTGGAACCCCACACAGACACACCTCAGCCTTAGCAGCAGCACTTTAATTCCACAAAAACTCAGAAAGCCAAAACTGATTAGAACACTCCACAACAGGTGGGCTTCAAAACCAGCAACAATTCTGCCTGAACCCTGAGAGCAGTGAGACCCCTCCCACCTCACCCCCTCTACCATGCAATGCATTCCTTCTAGTTCCACCCCAGTTCTGGCTGGGGAAGGGGGGATGGTAGGGGGCCAGAGGGCAAGAAGCAGGGAGTTATCCATCTGCAGGTGTGCATCCTTCTCTGCATGGCCTGTGGCCAAGGACCACTCAAGCTCCCACAGCCCCTGGCACCTGAGATGTGGCCAATGGAGTCAGGGTGGCCACAGTCGGGGCTGGAGCCTCTTCTGTTCTCCTTTCTTGACCGCATATGGCAGTCCTGTCTCCCAAGCCGAGACCTAAAGCCCTGGGTTCCCAGAGATGGTGCTCTCGCTGGAGAAGAGAGTTGAGAACAAGGTCGCTACAGATGGCCAACTTAATAGAAGCAGAGCATCATCCCCTCCCACCAGGAGAGGCTTCAGAACTTCCCCCATATACACCTGAATAAGGCCCAGCGAGTGGTCGCAGACCTGCTAAATGCGTCTGGAAGAGCCTCCAATACATAGGCCTCCCCTCAGCGGGCAGTTCCCACCAGGGCTCCTTGAAGAGACCTTAGGATCCTGCTGGGCCCTGGCTTGGCCACTCCTGCCCTCCCGGTCACTTGCACAAGGCCTCCAACACCTCCAGGGTGCGTCGGATATCCCGGACTTGGCGCGCCAGCCCCTGAACTGGCTGCAGAGCCCGCTCCAGCTCTTCACAGCGCGCCAGCAGGGTGTACATGCCCTTGATGCTCATGTCCACCGCTTCGCCTAGGGAGTCCACGGCGTCGCGGTAGGTCTGGATGCAGCCCACGCTCAGCGCGGTCAGCTCCTGCACCGCGCCACCCAGCCCGCGCAGCAGACGGTCCACCCTGCCGCCCAGCTCCCGACTCAGCCGCTCCAGGTCCCGCAGCACGTCGGGGTCGATGGGGGGGATGGCCGGAGTGGGCGCGGGCTTTGCACAGGGCCGCGCCGGGGCAGGGGGCGGGGGTTGAGGGGCGCCGCTCAGACGAATCTTGAGTTGCAGGTTGTTGGCCACGAAGTGGGTGAGGTCGCCATGGCGGCTCACCGTGCCCTCGAGCTCCAGGGGGCTGGAGATGGTGGCGCGGCGCCCGCCGCCCGCGCCAGGCTCGGCACCCCCTGCCGACCCGGCGCCGCCGCACGCCCCGCTCAGCCCGTCCAGGCTGCGGCTGTCCTGAAGGCGGCTGGAGAACGAGCGGCCAGCCCTGCCGGCCGCCGCCGCCTCCTCCTCCTCGTCTTCCTCCCGCGGCTCAGCCTCCATCCCGCTGCCTCCTGGGCTCCCTCGACGGCAGCCCCTCTCGGATGCAGGCTCGTCCTCCGGCGGCTCAGGGTCCTGGCACCCAGAGGACCCGTGCGGGTCGGGCTCCGGACCCGGCGCCCCCCGGCGGCTCCCCGGCGCGGACGGCGTCCCTCCGCGGCCCGGCTCGTAGTCCCGAGCCTCCCGCTCGGCCCGGTGGACGGCGCCGCGGCTCGAAGTCTTCGGGGACGCCGCGGGGTGGTGACTCGCGCCCCCAACGTTCTCGGCCTCTTCCTGCCCGGACACCGGGAGGCCTGAGGGCGGCGCAGAGGGTGCTCGGCCCAGCCCGCCGCCGAAGATCGCGGCTTGCTGTTCCCCCAGAGCCAGAAGGTCCGCCTCGGGCCCAGGCCGCCCCCGGGACGACTCCATGCCGCAGTTCGGGGCACGAACCGAGGAACTGATTCGCCCCGACTCGGGCGGCGTTGGCGGCGCCTTTAAGGGGCGTTGGTAGAGGCGCGCGATTGGCAGCCGGCTGACAATGGTCAGGACAGGAAGAACACTCTGATTGGTCGCTGTGACCAGGAAGTCTCGGAAGAAGAGCTGTTATTAGGCAGCCGAACACACGTGAGAGCCGGCGGTGCGGTGCGAAGGAGGTGACAGCTGCCCTCGTTGCTCTGCCCCCTCAGGATGAGGCGGGGCAAGTCTTAAAGATCAAGGTCCTGAAATACCCGAGTCCTCCGGGGCGGGGCTCAGACTCCTTCCACCCACAATTGTCACGCCCACAGTTGTTGCTTAGCAAACACACCCAGTGGGCACCAGAGTTGCGGCTCCTAGAGAGTTTGTGGGCATGAAAAGAGTCTTTCCTGCTTGGACCATCGGGATTGAACCAATTTAGTCCATCGGGAGGGATGCAACCGGAATCCCCAGCAGAGCACGAATGGTTGGGTCCACCATCCTCGGCTCACCGACCTGCAGAAGAACTGCCCTGAGCGACTCACGATGGTCAATCAAGTCGGCTTAAGGGCTTTCCTGTGCTTTTGCCACTCTGTCCTCTGTCTCCGGCCCCCTCCACGTTGGAGGATCTCTCCGCTTGGAGGATGGTGTGTGATTTTGCCACGAGATAAAATATTCAATAAACGAATGGCTCTGCACGGAGATCGGAGCCCTGGTACCATTCTTCTGATCCCAACTCTTCCTTCTCTTCCCTTCGTTGGTCTCGCTGGAGCCACACTGCCGGCCCCCTCGCTGTTCTTCTGCCTCAGGGATTTACCCTTGCTCTTCCTTTTTTTTTTTTTTTTTTTTTTTAAGTCTGAGTCTACCAAGGAAAATTTCAACTTCAGTTCCTTATTTATTCAAATATCACCTTTTCAGTGCGGCCTCCCCTGATAACCTGTTTAAAATTGCAGCCGCTTTCCCCAGCAATCCCCGCTTTCCCTTCCCTTCCTTTTGTGCGTGGCATATACTATATACTTGCTTACTTGGTCATGTAAGCTCCTTGAGGGTAATGGTTTTCTGTAGGGCTTTTTTTTTTGGTCTGTTTTGATCCGTATCCGCAGTGTTTAGGGTGCCTAGCATATAGTAGGCGCTGCGTAAATATGTATTAAATGACCACAAACCATTGATTTCCTCTTTGTGACTTGAACACATTCAAGATGTGTTTCTGTCACTTGTACCCAGAGTCCTGACTAATAAACCATGAGATCCCCCCTCTCTGGGGCTGGCCCCCCAACCCCGTCTTCCCTTTACCCCTCAGCAGGCAGACATTCTTTATTCAGCAAGTGATAGAAAACACAAGTTGGACCAACACTATCGTTAAAACAAGGAGACTGCATTGTGTCATGCGATAATGGTCTCAAGACGAGAGAGAGTGTGCTCAGAGAAGTTTGGGTCCAGTGCCCTAGGACTGTCACAAAGGAACTGGTTTCTGTCTGCGGGGGCAGCCTTATCCCAAGTGGCTTCCTCATGGTGGCAAGATGGCCGCTCTTTGTCATTCTTCGGGGGTTGTATTGGTCTCCTTGGGCTGCTATGACAAAACACCATAAACTGGGTGTCTTAAACAACAGACATTTATGTCTCACACTTCTAGAGTCTGGGAAGCCCAAGATGCCAGCTGATGTGGTCCCTGGTGAGACCCCTCTTCCTGTCTTCTCCATGTGCCCTCCCATGGCGAAGAGAGAAAGCTAGCTCTCAGCCTCTTCTTAGAAGGGACTAAATCCTATTGTAAGGACCCCACCCTCATGACCTTGTCTAAACCTAATTATGTCCAAAGGCCTCACCTCCAAATACCATCACACTGGAGACTAACACGTCAAGAGACGACTTTCGGAAGGACAAGCACCTTCAGTCCATAACGGAGGTCACTCGTCATCCTTTTTGGTCTCTTGAGATCTGACTCAATGTTTAAGGACACTCCCACATCATCAGGAAGCTGAAATATCAAGCAGCCCCTCTCCTAGTTTCCCAGGCACATGGCTCTGGCTCCACCATGGAGCGCTTCTGCAGTGGAATTTTCCCTGGCTGGGCGGACTCCACGCCTGGTCCTTCTAGAGATTCCTGGTGCTCCTCCAGAGGCTGTGAATCACCCAGGATGCTCATAATAAAGTCCACTTATGCTTCAATGAGCCCAAATTATTCTCTGTTTCATGCAGCCAGGACCCCTGAATGATATGCTCCCACACCTTCCAGAAGGGGAGAAAGGAATCGCTTCCACCAAAGGCCCAGTTAATTTCCCTTTACATCTTATTGGCCTAAACTGGTTCAATGTACAATTTAGTCACAAGGTACAATTTAGTCACATTGGCCGGGGTAATACCATGTCTGACTGACTTAGGACTGAGTATCCAGGGATGACTGGGTTGCTCAGGTAAGCATCTGCCTTTGGCTCAGGTCATGATCCCAGGGTCCTGGGTCATGATCTCAGGGTCCTGGGATCTCCGGCGTGGGCGGGGCTCCCTGCTTGGTGGGTAGTCTGCTTCTCACTCTGCCTCTGCCCCTCCCCCACTTGTGCCCACTCACTCACTCTCTCTCTCAAATAAATAAATAAAATCTTAAAAGAAAAAAAAAAGGACTGAGTATCCAGAAGCAATCACTCTGGGAGGTGACGAGAATCAACTTATTAGGTTAAAACAATTATGCTCCTTCTGGAGCTACGGGTGGGTCAGTCCCCTCCAAACCCCAGTAGCTGCGACTCAGTGGGGGAGGGGGGCAGGGGCTGTCGGGGAGCAACCACAGTGTGTCCTATGTTAGGGGTCAGCCAAGTATGGCCCATGGACCAGATTCAGCTCACTACCGCTTTTATTTTTTATTTATTTATTTATTTTTAAAGATTTTATTTATTCATTTGAGACACAGAGATACAGAGAGAGAAAGCATGAGCAGGGAGAGAGGCAGAGGGAGAAGCAGGCTCCTCGCTGAGCCAGGAGCCCGATGTGGGGCTCGATCCCATGACCCCGGGATCATGACCTGAGCTGAAGGCAAACGCCCAACCATCTGGGCCACCTAGGCGCCCCTCACTACTGCTTTTTACACGGCTTGTGAGCTGAGAATGGTTTTTACAGATTTAAATGGTTGAAAAAGAAAGGATATGAAAATTCATACAATTATATGGAATTTAAATTTCAGTGTCCATAAGTATTTTTGGAATACGGCCATGTCCATGCATCGATGAACTGTCTCTGGTCGCTTTCGTGCTGCAATGGCAAAGCTGAGTAGTTTCAATAGAAGCCAGATGGCCTGTAGAGATTTCAGGATTTACCTCCCGGATTTTCCCGGATAGTTCCCTATGTCTTTCACTCCAAGCTGCTGGAAGTGGGAACCCACCCCAGGACGGGCTCAGTACTCCTGTTTGCCTATCGCTGTCAGCGGCCATGGGTAACTGCTGGTGGTCTGACATGACTCATATTTTCATGCATATGCACACTCTGTTCATGAGACTTTGCAATACTCTTTTTAGAACTTTATAAGAGCAGATTTGGGTCAAAGAGGCTTGTACTACCCAGTAGTAGGGAGATAGAGAAGGATGAGTTTTGCTGCAAGCGGGCAAATATCTTTTTATATTTATTTATTTAAACACATGTGTTTATATTTTATTTATTTATTTATTTTTTTAGAGAGAGAGAGTGCAAGCAGGGGTTTGGGGAGTAGGGGCAGAGGGAGAGAGAGAGGACCCCAAGCAGTCTCCATGCCCAGCAAGGAGCCTGACGTGGGGCTCGATCTCCCAACCCTGAGATCATGACCTGAGCCAAAATCAAGTCAGTCACCTGTCCAACTGAGTCAACCAGGTGCCCATAGGCAAATTGTTTTTAAAGGCCCATGTTTTCCCCGCTGCTCCATGAATACACATATTTTTTTTGTTCCAAATTATGCAATGCCTGTATATGGAAATTTGGTATATGAAGAAGATGGTGGTATTTGGGGTCAATTTATATAAATGGTGCAATTATAAGAGATCAGGGAGTTGGACCAAAACAAAAATGAAAAAAAAAAGATTTCAACCCTTACGTTAAAAAAATAATTTTGATCACATTTTTATTTTTTATTATTTTTTAAGATTTTATTTATTTATTTGACAGAGAGAGAGCAAGAGAGGGAACACAAGCAGGGGGAGTGGGAGAGGGAGAAGCAGGCTTTCCGTTGAGCAGGGATCCCAATGCGGGCCTTGATTCCAGGACCCTGAGATCATTACCTGAGCTGAAGGCAGACCCTTAACCGAGTGAACCACCCAGGCGCCCCTTGATCACATTTTTAAATGAAAAACAGACAGTTGGGTGCCTGGGTGGCTCAGTTGGTTAAGCGACTGCCTTCGGCCCAGGTCATGATCCTGGAGTCCCGGGATCGAGTCCCACATCGGACTCCCTGCTCAGCAGGGAGTCGGCTTCTCCCTCTGACCCTCTTCCCTCTCGTGCTCTCTATCTCTCATTCTCTCTCTCTCAAATAAATAAATAAAATCTTAAAAAAAAAAACAGTTATGAAAGAAAACAGAAGTGCATGTTTTGTTGGTTTGTTTGTTTTATAAGCTTGGGGTGACAAAGGCTTCTTAAAGTAAAACCAAAAATCTGATAAAACTATGTTAAAAGACAAATTGCAGAGAGGGAAAGAAAATATTGGCCCAGTATATGACAAACCATTAATATCCCTTGATCTTACTCGTAAATCTGCCGAAGATGGCCAAGGACTCCAGGGTTGGTAAATTCACTAGCTCAACAAAATCACCAAGGACCCTGGTTCTTTCCATCTTTACGCTCTACCAATTACTTCAGTCTGCCAATCTGTCTTTAAAAAAAAAAAATGAAATCATGTAAAAAAAAATAATGAAATCATGTGTATGTATTTCTGTTCATTAAGATAAGCACACTAATCAAAAGCTATACCACATTTACAGCAACTGCAAATACAAAGATAGTGTTCTGAATTCTGTGTTTCTTTTTTTTTTAATTTTTAAATAGATTTTTATTTACTTATTCGACAGAGAGAGACACAGCGAGAGAGGGAACACAAGCAGGGGGAGTGGGAGAGGGAAAAGCAGGCTCCGCGCGGAGCAGGGCTCAATCCCAGGACTCTGGGATCATGACCTGAGCCAAAGGCAGACACTAAATGACTGAACCACCCAGGCGCCCTGAATTCTGTGTTTCACCGAGCATCAAAAGCCACCCATCTTTTCTTTAAAAGATTTATTTATTTATTATTTTACAGAGCGAGAGAGCATGAGTGCATGAGCAGGGCAAGGGGCAGAGGAAGAAGGAGAGAGAATCTTCAGCCGACTCCCCTCGAGCACAGAGCCCCACACAGGGCTCCATCCCAGGACCCTGAGATCATGACTCAAGCCGAAATCAAAAGTCTGATGCTGAAGCAACTGAGCCACCCAGGCGACCCGAGCCACCGATCTTTTTGTCCTTCTCTCGTACTTTATTCTGTATCCACATCCTCTGCCTCTGATTGGATCCCTGGATTTTATTCCATTTTTCTGTGTGACGTTCTCTGCAGATATATATCATTGGCGGCTGCTTTGGGGGCTGAACATCCTTTTGGGGGTCCACTGAAAATCCCTACAAATCCCAACCAGCCAATTCCCTACCCAGGTAGCCCAGAGAAAACTTCTCACTCTGCGCTTTGAAACAGTTTACTGACAATCTGTCTTGACCTCAGCTGTCCCTGTGGGCACAGAATGTCTGCCACACATCCAGCCATCTCAGGAACCAGCTTCATGTGGCATTAGCGGTCAGTAGGTCGGTCAGTGAGATCAATACCACCCCGTTGTGTTTCAAGTCATGAGGAGACAGTGTGTGAAACTAGCAGGGCTCTTCTATTAGACTCGTTCATTCCCATGATCAGCTGGGCGCACAAAATATAAATCTAGTAAGAAAGAATCTTGCCACAGACCAGACCAGAGAGGGTTTGTAAGGCTGCAAAGCTTGGTAGGTATAGGGACCGTGGGGGGAATGTAGCTTCCTTTAGGGTGCTACTCCACCCTCTCTCCTTTCAACCTATTTCACATTTAGAAAGCGACTTCCTCGAGATTGCAGCCCGTGTGTGGGAATTTGTCTCCTGGTTGGGAATTCCATTTTCTATTCCTTTGGAAAACCCACAGTCAAGCTCCTAGGTCCTGTCTGTCTTCCTTCTTTTAGACGTTCTAGTAAGTGTGTGCTAATGTCTCAGCATGGTTTTAATTTGCGTTCCCTAATAACTAACAATGTTGAGTATCTTTTCACGTGCTTATTTGCCATCTATATATGTTCTTTGAGGAATGCATCCCCACTTTTCTATTATTTTGTTTTACATAGCTTGTAAACTACTTTAAATCCTTTCTAGGATAAGACTATTTATAGTTATTTATAAATATTCATTTAAAATATATATATTTATTATATATACGTATATATACCACATCTTCTTTATCCGTTCATCCATCGATGGACACTTGGTTGCTTCCACATCTTGGCTCTTGTAAATAATGCTGCAACAAATATAGGGATGCATATATATTTTCAAGTTAGTGTTTTTGTTTTCTTTGGATAAATACCCAGAAATGGGATCGCTGGATCCTATGGTAGTTCTATCTTTCAGTTTTTGGGGTACTCTCCATGCTGATTTCCATAGTGGCTGCACCAACATACATTCCCACCAACAGTGCACCAGGGTTCCTTTCTCTTACTCCACATCCTCGCCAATGCTTTTTATTTCTTCTCTCTCTCCTTTTTTTTAAAAGATTTTATTTATTTATTTGACAGAGAGATAGAGAGAGCACAAGTAGGCAGAGTGGCAGGCAGAGGGAGAGGGAGAAGCAGGGTCTCTGCTGAGCAGGGAGCCGGATGTGGGGCTCGATCCTAGGACCCCAGGATCATGACCTGAGCCGAAGGCAGCCACTTAACCAACTGAGCCGCCCAGGCGCCTGAGACTATATTTTTTAATGCTATTTATACCATGCACATTACTGCACTTGAGAACAGACTATGTTATAGGGCAAGATAGGATTGTTATTTCCATCTTAAAGGGCTCATAAAGATTAAACCACTTGGCCAAGGTCACATGGCTAATGAACGTTGGAGAAAGGACTAGAACTCAGGGGTGCCAGCCAGAAGCTAAAGCTCGTTCCTCCACAGAGCCCCCCCCGCCACCAATCAGGCCACAATGAGGGCAGCAGACCACCTCTTGCGTCTTACCAGTGCCCACACCACCCACAGAAATGCAGACAGGCTTTCGAGAGCAAAATATTGGCCAGCCTACCAGGAGGACACAACCAGACGCCCAAGGAAGAAGAGAAGTGGCTTTTTGTTTCTTTTTCCTGTCATCGTCTGTTCAGTGGGAAGGTAAGGTGATCATCAAGCTCCCAGAGTGAACAAACATTCCAAGTCAGCTGGACTCAGCGTAATGGTATCTTTACTTAAAAAAAATGTCAGCCAGGGGCACCTGGGTGGCTCAGTCATTAAGCATCAACCTTCGGCTCAGGTCATGATCCCAGGGTCCTGGGATCAAGCACCGCATTGGGGTCCCTGCTCGGCTGGGAGCCTGCTTCTCCCTCTCCTACTCCCCTGCTTGTGTTGCCTCTCTCGCTGTCTCTCTCTCTCTCTCTGTCAAATAAATAAATAAAATCTTTAAAAAAAAATGTCAACCAGGCTAGCCTTTCCCCCACACCCCAGGACACAAGCCCTTCTGTTCTCTGTAGGATTTGTCAAGTAGGATATTTGTTGTGTGGGTTGTGGGGTGGAATGTAGGGTTTATGTGGGATATGGAATTATGTCATATCGTCACATTATTCAATTAAGGGGGTGGCTCTTGCTAGAATATGTGGAATTTTCATGAGCAAGGAGATGATGCCCCTTAGAAAAGTCTCTGAGGGGTCAAGCACAGGTCACTGACCAAAGATCATGATACAGACCGCGGATTCTTCCCATGACTCAAAGGAGGTTGCAGGTGCCATTCTAGACAGAAGGAAGAGCAAGTGCAAAGGACCGGAGGTAGAAACAAATTTGGCAATGTTCAAGGAACAGCAAGGAGGCCAGTGCTTTAGTGATGGAAGGGGTTAGAGCAGCTGGGAGCTGATCTCCAAGTAGGGAGGAGCAGAATCTCTTCGGGCAGGGACTTTTAACTCAGATGGATGCCTGGGTCTCAGCCTAGGCTGATTAAATCTGAATTTCTCAGGCTGATAGTCCAAGAGTTCTGTTTTCTCCATAAGCCCTCCAGGTGATTATGACGTGCAGCCAGGATTGAAAACGGGTAGAGGACCTTGCCACAGAATGAGTTTGGATTTTATTCGAAGAACTCTAACTTCCCATGTGGAGGACAGGCCAGGAATAGGAACAGGGAGAACAGTTAAGAGGCTGGTGGCTTGAATCAGGGTGAGAGCAGTGCAGTTTGTGAGTAAGGGAGGTAGGGCTGAGACCCTGTGGATTTCATTGGCAGAAGGAAGGAGGCGGTTGGCAGAGAAAAGGGAGAGAAACCAGGGTTTAAAAAAAAAAAACCTTGAGGTGCCTGGGTGGCTCAGTTGTTTAAGTGTCTGCTTTCGGCTCAGGTCACGATCCCAGAATCCTGGGATCAAGTCCCGCATCGGGCTCCCCGCTCCGCGGGGAGCCTGCTTCTCCCTCTCCCACTCCCCCCTGCTTGTGTTCCCTCTCTCGCTGTCTCTCTCTCTGTCAAATAAATAAAATCTTAAAAAAAAATCTTTATAACATCATTCAATTGTTTTACCCCATGGGTAAAAGAGTCTTTTTACCCCATCTGGAAAAGAGTCCTTACAGATGTAATTTAGGATCTTTTTTTTTTAAAGATTTTATTTATTTTATTTGAGAGAGAGAGAGCACATGAGAGGGGGGAGCCCGATGCGGGACTCGATCCCGGGACTCCAGGACCATGACCTGAGCAGAAGGCAGTCGCTCAGCCAACTGAGCCACCCAGGCGCCCTGTAATTTAGGATCTTAAGGCAAAATCATCCCGGATTATCTGGGTGGGCCCCAAATGAAAATGACTAGAGTTCTTATAAGTCACAGAAGAGAGAGGATAGGGAAAGAGCATGAAAAAGCAGAGCTGGGAGTAGGGAAGCCTCACACCCAGAAATGCGTGGAGCCACCCGAAGCTGGAAGAGGGGAGGGAGGATTCCCCCCCACCGCCCCCCCAGAGCCCTTGATGGGGGTGGGGCACTGTGGCCAATCTGATTTTGGACCAATTTTCTGTTTTAAACCACCTCCTTGGTGGTCATTTGTTACGGCAGCTCTAGGAATGGCTGGTGGCGCATCAGTTAACAAAGATCAAATAAAAATAAGAACTTTTTTTTTTAAAGATTTTATTTATTTATTTGACAGAGAGTGAGCACAAGTAGGGGGGAGCGGGCAGAGGGAGAGGGAGAAGCAGGCTCCTTGCTGAGCGGGGAGCCCGATGTGGGGCTCGATCCCAGGACTGTGGGATCATGACCTGAGCCAAAGGCAGACCCTTAACGACTGAGCCACCAGGCGTCCCCCAAAATAGGAACATTTATAAAAAAAAATAACAAAACTGCATGAAGTCTAAAAAAGAAAATTTATTCCCCTACCTCACATGATTGTGATTAAAAGAGTAAGTAACCAGCAGACGAAGAGAAAGCCTTTGATGAAAGTCAACATCTAGTCAGGACACCAAAAACCAAACCCTTTCTTAATCTGGTAAGGCACCTTTTTTTCCTGGACTACACAGTAACGGTAAAAACTGCAATTCCTTGTTCCAGATCTGTGATCCATAGGCACATAAAATAAATGTGTGTGCTGCCCAAAAGTAATCAATACACCATCCTAGCACAGCATTAAGGAATATGGACTTTAAAACTGGGCTCTCCCCACTTACTAGCTCTGTGACTTTTGGTGGACTCTGCGACCTCTCTGTGTCCTGTGCTAGATCCTGAGCAGAGCAGTAAAACAAAGACAGCTTCTAGGGGAAGGCCATGTTCAGTGGCTCCTAGGTTAGCAGGGGCTGAACCAGAAAGAAAGACTAGAGGTGCAGCTGGGGTTCAGCAGCAGCCAAGGGGAGCCGAGGCTCCAGCAGCCAGAGCAGGGGAAGAAACAACGGGAGACAGGGGTGGGGAGAGCAGGAAGCTGACCAGGGCAAGGGTGGGTGTGGCCAGGGAGAGTTGAGCAGGGGCAATCCTCACCCACCAGCGCCCCCACCCCTCAGCAGTCTCCACCTGTCTGTAAAGCATCTAAATTCATCCGTATAAAAAGCTTCAGACTTTATTAAATAAAAAGGAGGTAGAAGACAAGTCAAGGAAACAGGCCAGGTACTCTTCCTTCCAACCCCACATACACGGGCATACAAACAGACACAACTGACAGGGACAAGTCAGGGGACAGACTGAAGGGCGGAGGGAGGCAGCACCCTCCGGGAGTGGGCCTGGACCCAAGGGTGCGCAGAGACCTGGGCCAGGGGCAGCCGTTCTGAGGGGTTATGCTTGAGCAGCTTGGAGATGAGGTCCTGGGCTCCCACGGGCACAGAGGCGGGGAACTTCAGGTCCACCTGCAGAAGTCAAGGAAGGACAAGGGCCCCCTTAGTTTTATCCTTGACCACCCCCATTCCATCTGGAGAATTCCACAGGGCCCGCCTGGCCTCTGCGGCCAGGCACCGAGGCCTGCGCTCCCACCTTGACGATGCGCCGATACGTCTCATTGTGGGAAGCGCTCTCGAAGGGCGGATTTCCCACCAGCAGCTCATAGCAGAGGACTCCGATGCACCACAGATCCACCTTCTCGTTGTGCGTGCGCCCTTCAATCATTTCTGGGGGCAGGTAGTCCAAGGTACCACACATCGTCTTCCTCCTGGGTGGGATGGCAGGGGAAAGGGCAGGGATCCCAGGTAAAGACCACCTGTCTTTTCCCTGCTGCCCGACAGGGAGCTGAGCAACCCCAGGATGAGCCAGGGGAGTATTTCAACCAGGCTCTGACAGGGCCCTTTGGGGCAGGAGTTGGGTAAAGATAGAGCCCAAAGCCCCAGGGGTAGAATCACACACTGCCCCAGCCTTTCCACCCGGAGGGATGTATCTTAAAATAATCAGATCTAAGGACAATGCTCATCTTAGAATTAACGGGAAAACTGGGGCCCTCTCAAAAGTCCATCCGGCAGGTCCCACTGAAATGGATCAGGTTGGGCGCCTGTGTTGGCTCAGTCGGTTGAGCATCTGCCTTCGGCTCAGGTCATGATCTCAGGGTCCTGGGTCGAGTCCCGTATTGGGTTCCCTGCTCAGTGGGGAGTCTGCCTCTCCCTTTCCCTCTGCCCTTCCCATCTGCTCATCTCTCTCTCACATAAATAAAATCTTGGGGAAAAAAATGGATCAGGTTCTATCTATGTACAATACTATGAAGCCATTACAAATGAGGTGGGAGTATTCTCAGTGACGCAATGAGTGGGTCCCAGGATATTCGGTAGGAAATCTGGGCAAGAGAATTGGGGGTCTCCTATTTTTGTAAAGAGATTGCCGTGTCTATAGGCACTTGAGGACAAACCCACACGTGTCCGGGGACCAAGATCTGGAGTCCTGTTACCCTGAACGTGCCTGCCATTCACACCCAGGCCCGGTCCCCTGGCCCACCGTACCTCAGGGATGGGGCATGCACAGACCAGCCAAAGTCAGCGATCTTCAGCTCTCCCTGGAGCCCCAAGAGCAGATTCTCCGGCTTTATGTCTCTGTGAATCACCTTCTTCCCATGGCAGTACATCAGAGCATCTGCCAGTTCTTCCATGATCTGGGAGGGCCAACGACAGTGGGTCAGGCAAGGCTGGACCTCCAGCTCCAAGCGGCAGACCCCCAGCCTCGGGCCCCTGCTGGTGCCCCAAAGCGCCCATCCGCCCGGACCGTGGCTGTTCGCTGCTCGTCAAAAGTGCGGCTCTTCTGCAGTTCCTTGTAGAGCTCCCCGCGGGGGGCGTACTCCAGAATCAAGTAGATCCTTCGCCGGTCATAGAAATAGTTGTAGAGACGCAGGATGTTGGGATGTCTGGAGGGGACAGGGGAGGACTCAGGTTGCATCCTGGCCGAAGGAAAAGGGAAAGATGACAGTGCCAGGTGGGGCAAAGTGGGGTCACATTTGGACCAGGCCGGGGACAGTGGGGCTGGCAGTGGTGAAGGGGAACTGGGGGCGGCCCTCTGGATTCAAGGTTCTGGCCGGGGCTGGGAGTTCAGTAGGGCCTTGACCGGGGCTGGGAGCTCAGTGGGCCAAGGGACCGCAGCAGGGCAGTCTGGATGGGCAGGGGGTAAAAGAGGAGCCGGGGGAGGAGCAGAGGGGCTGGGGTGAGCGGAGGGCAGGACTCATACTGCAGATGGGCCTGGATTTCGATCTCCCTGCGCAGTTGGTGCTCCACGCCCTCCTTTTCTATCTGAGACTTGAAGAGGACCTTGAGAGCAACAATGAAATGGCTTTTCTTCTCCCGAGCCAAGTACACGTTTCCAAACTTGCCTTTGCCCAGAGGACGCCCGATCTCAAAGTCGTCAATGGTGAAGGAGCGCCTGAGGAGAGGTGGGGGGAAGGCAGGCGAGCGCCAGCCTGTGGGTCATCCCAGGAGGCCGCATTCTCCCCTCTCCCTCAGCCCTGCCGGCCCTCAGCCCTGCCGGCCCTCAGCCCTGCCGGCCCTCAGCCCTGCTTCTCTCCCAAGGGAGTTGAGGACGGATCAGGCTTTCTTGCCTGCATCCCTGCTCCTGCCCTGAGTGGCCGCCTCCCCCCATGTCCTCCGAGTTTGCTCTCCCCCACCCTCTTACCACCCCAAGGGTTGGGTACTCACGTTGAGAAGTTGGGTGTCCCACTGCTGTTCTCCACCACCTTCTGGCCAGGGGCAGCTAAGGAAACAACATGGGAATTGAGCCCCCCCCCAACTCTGACATTTTCATCCTGGCACCCTCCCCATAGACGCTAGGCCCCTCGGCTCACTCCCCTCCCGTGTCCCAGTTACCTGTGGGCTGGGCATTGGAGCGGCTCATGAGGACAAGCGCAGATGGGGTGGCAGGGTCCTTCCGGAGGACTCTCTGGGGCAGGGTGTTCAGGCCAGGCTGAGTCTGAGAAGGAGCAGCAGTGGGGAGCTCTGAGGGTGCCTTTGTCCCAGGGAGCGAGTTGGAATGTGCTGCAAGCAGCATTTCAATACTTGCTGTCAGCCCACCCAGCCAGCCACCCACCCACCCCCTGTTCAAAGAGGAACATTGAGACCACAGTTTTGCTACTCAGCCCAAGGCTCCGCTCTTTGCTCCATATTAAAATGGGTTCTTCATAAGCGACCTAGGTTGGCCTAAGATAAGGAGCAAAGGACTCACCCCAACACCGAACATTTCACCTCCTTGGCCATGGCCCACATCACATTTTCAGGCACATAACTGTCTAACCTCTATGGTACCGTCCACAACCCCACACTCATTCACTCTGCCCTCCCTCACCCCAGTGGGGAGTAGAGCGCCAGGTTAAAAAAGGAAAAAAAAAATGCCCACAATTCAAGGGGTTTTAGCAGAAACATTCTCACAGTGCCCTAAAAACTTAGTCTAGGGGCACCTGACTGGCTCAGTCAGTAGAACACGCAACTCTTGAACTCAGGGCTGTGAGTTCGAGCCCCGTGTTGGGTGTAGAGATTACTTTAAAATCTTCGAAAAAAAAATTTTGAAAAAATTAGAAAAAAAATTAAAAAACTCAGGCTATTAACGTTTAGATAAGGTCCCGGAGGTCTTGAATGTTGCAACAAATTCCAGTGTTCACCCCTTTGCAACAAGAGGCTTTGGAGACACCGAGGGCTACTCTGATGGCCCCGGACCATTTCTCTCTTGCAGCTTCTCAGAGCAATATACACAACTTCCTTTCAGGAGTGACCACAATGGTTTCTCTTTCAGCCTCTGTTCTTGCCAGCTTCACTAAGTGCTCCGTGAGGGCAGGAGCTGGTGGACAAGGGGACAGATGGACACTTCAGGATACCCAAGTCCCACCAACAGGGAGCAAAGCCTGTGTGAGCCCCTTCCTTCTTCTTAGCCTAGAGAAGAAAGCCTCATGCCCTAAAAACCCATTCCCAAGCAGTGATATCACTACAGAATTTATAAGCAAGCAAGTTGGACAAAATAAGAGTCCAGAAATAGACGCACATAGAGGTGGGCATTTTATATAATAAAGGTGGCATTTCAAATCAGAGAGTAGACTGTCCACTAAAAGGTCTTAGGACAACTGGAAAATAAATCTATTTAGATCTTGATCACACACCAGTCACTAAAACAAATTCCAAATTACAAATTTAACATGTCCTGAATCTTTTAAACTTATAAAAACCCTGTTCAGAGTCTCTCTCTACTTCCTGTCTAGCCTGTTTGTTCAGGACAAGGGTTGGGAATCATGGCCCAAAGGGCAAACCTGCCTGCTCAGTCCCAGGTATCATTTGTATATGTGACAAGTAGGCTCAACCCTGCAGGGGTCCTCATAGGCTGATCAGATTCAACTTGGCAGCACCTGATAGGATGTATTTGCAAATGCCCAGACCGGGTTCCGCCAGCAAACTCTTGGGACGCATTCGTTGGAGCAAAGCAGGGCAGACTCGAAGGGTCGCCCTCCGCAAGACCTCAAATCCCCAGGTAAGAATTCTCCATGCGGGTGGGGGGAGGGGAAGTGGGAAAGCCCTTACCGTCTGCCGGCCGTAGGGCCAGGGGTAGGCGTTCTCCTTCTGGGCCATCCTTAGAGGGAAAGGGGGAGGAGAGCTGGGCACACAAGGGAAACAGGGCTGTAAGAAGCAGGAAAAAAAGAGAGAGCGAGAGAGGAGAAGGTCGGACCGATCGAGCCGGAAGCACGGATCTGGGGCTGCTGAAAGGGGGCTGATCAAGTCGCTGGCTCATCGGGGCGCACCCGGGCGCTCGTGTCGCCGCCCCCGCCCTACTCTTGCACACCCCCCTTTCAGGACCCTCCCTCTACCCTTGAGCTCCCAGTAGCCCGGGGGGTGCGCGCGGGCCGCCCAACGGACCCCCGACCTGCCTGATCACCTGCCCTCTCCCAGCGCAAGACCCGCGAAAGGAAGCCAGCTCACCTGGAGCCCGTGGCACAGCCACCCCCCGGGCCGCGGGCAAACGACTGAACCTGCCGGGCCGGACCCCCTCTGAGGCCCTTTCAAATCTCCCGCCCTGGCCCCATTGGCTGAGCGCGCTGCCCATGCCCAGTCCTCATTGGCTGGACTCCCCGTGACGTAGCCCGTGGGACCCAATGCCGGAGGCGGAATGCCAGACACCGCCCACTGGAGATTCGGGGTTAGGAAAGTTTCGGGCATCCCCGAGTCCAATGTTCTCACATCTTCTTTCATTAATTTAAAATTTCCATCTATCAGGAATTTATCCTTCTGTGTGTATGCATCAGGGTTTTGTTCTCGACGGATGGAGAGTTCATTATGCCAGCACCGTTCGTTAAACAAACCACCTAGTTCCCAGCGGAATTTAAATGCTACCCTTACCCAAAGCAATCCACAGATTCCACGCAATCTCTATCAAAATTCCAATGGCAGTTTTTACAGAAATAGAAAAAAACAATAGCAAATTTGTATGGAGTCACAAAAGGACGCAAATAGCCAAAGCAATCTTGAGAAAGAACAAAGCCACGGGTATCACCCACCCTGGTTTCAAACCACATTACAAAGCTGTAGTAATTAAAACAGCCCGGTGTTAAAAAAAAAACAACAACAACAACAACAACAGCCCGGTGTTGACATAAAAACTGCCACATAGATCAATGGAGCTGAGTAGAGAGCCCAGAAATAAATCCACACATATATGGTCAACCAATTTATGGAAAAGGAGCCAAAAACACGCAAGGGCGAGAGGGTAGTCTCTTCAAAAAATGGTGCTAGGAGAACTGGACAGCCACACCTGCAAAAGAATGAATCTGGACCACTATCTTACACTATACACAAAAATTAACTCAAAATGGATTAAAGACTTGAACGTAAGACCTGAAACCATAAAACTCCTAGAAGAAAACACAGGCTGTAGATTCCTTGACATAGGTCTTCACAATATTTTTAAAAACCTGACACCAAAAGCAATAGCAAGACCAAAAATAAACAAGTGGGGCTACATCAAACTAAAAACTTTTTTTAAATTTTTATTTATTCATTTGAGGCAGAGAGATAGATACACACAGAGAGAGAGCATAAGCTGGGGAAGAGGCAAAGGGAGAAGTAGGCTCCCCACTGAGCCAGGAGCACGGCGGGGTTGGGGGGGCTGCTTGGCGTGGGGCTTGGCGTGGGGCTCAGCATGGGGCTCGATCCCAGAATCCTGGGATCATGACCTGAGCCAAAGACAGACCCATCTGAGCCACCCAGGCACCCCCAAACTAAAAGCTTCTACACAGCAAAGAAAACCATCAACAAAATGAAAAGGCAACCTAGTGAATGGAAGAAATATTTGCAAATCATATACCTGATAAGGGGCTAATATCCAAAATATCTGATGAACTCATACAACTTAATGGCAAAAAACAATCTGATTTAAAAATGGGCTGAAGATTGGAATAGACATGTTTCCAAAGAAGACCTACAGATGGCCAACATGTACATGAAAGATGCTTACCATCATCAGTCATCAGGGAAATGCAAATCGAAACCAGAATGAGATTTAGCCTCACACCTGTTAGAATGGTTGTCACCAAAAAGACAAGAAATAACAAGTTTGGGTCAGGAGGTAGAGAAAAGGGAGCCCTCGTGCACTGTGGTGGGAATGCAAATTGGTGCAGCCACCATGGCAAACAGTATGGAGGGCCAACAAAAACTTAAAGACAGGGTGCCTGGGTGGCTCTATCTGTTAAGTGTCTGCCTTCGGCTCAGGTCATGATCCCGGAGTCCTAGGATCGAGTCCCACATCAGGCTCCTGGCTCAGCAGGGAGTCTGCTTCTGCCTCTGACCCTCCCCCCTCTCATGCTGTTTCTCTCTCGCTCGCTCTCTAATAGATAAATAAAATCTTAAAAAAAAAAAAAACTTAAGGACAGAACTACCAAAGGATCCAGCAATTTCACTTCTGAGTATTTATCCAAAGGAAAGGAAAGCAAGATTCAAAAAGGTATCTGCATCCCCATGTTCACTGCAGCATTATTTACAACAGCTAGGATATAGAAACAACCAAGTGTCTACAGTTGGATGAAAGGATAAAGAAAATGAGGTGCGTGCGTGTGTGTGTGTGTGTGTGTGTGTGTGTGTGTACTGGAATATTATATTATTCTGCTATGAAAAAGAATGAAATCTTGTCATTTGTGACAACATAGATGGACCGGGAGGGTATTATGCTAAGTGAAGTAAGTCAGACAGAGAAAGACAAATACTGTATGATTTTTCTTATATGTGGAATCTAAAAACAACAAAGAAAAACTCATGGATACAGAGAACAGATTAGGGGTTGCCAGAGGTGGTGGGGGTGGGGATGGAAGAAATGAGTGAAAGGGGGTCAAAATGTTAAAAAAAAAAAAGAAAGAAATGCAACATTATGATACAGATGTAAATGTTAGTTGATTACAATTATATTGTTGAAAAATGTAAGCTGAAACATGTGTGTGGCATTATTTCTTCTAATATATTAGCAGGGAAAAAATGGAGGGAAAAAACTACTCTTGGGGCACCTGAGTGGCCCAGTCAGTTGAGCATATGACTCATGACTTCCGCTCGGGTCAGGATCTTAAGTGGTGGGATCAAGACCCGCGTCGGGCTCTGCACTCAGTGGGGAGTCTGCTTGGGATTCTCTCTCTCCCTCTGCCCCTCCCCCGCTCATTCTCTGTCTCTCTCTCTCTCTGTCAAATAAATAAATAAAATCTTAAAAAAACAACAAACAAGGGGAGGGGGTGGGGGGATGGGTTAGCCAGGTGATGGGTATTAAGGAGGGCACATACTGCATGAAGCACCGGGTATTATATGAAAACAATGAATCGTGGATCACTACATGAAAAGCTAATGATGTATGGTGACGAACATAACATCATAAAATCAAATTAAATTTAAAAAACTACTCTTGATATATTGTCATAGTAGATACTTGGATCTCCATATTTCTGGACTCTTTATTCCATTGTCTGCATGTGTTTATTTTTGTGTCATTACTATTTTATTCTTTAAAGTCTTGCACTCACAAGACTTTTCCACCAGTGGACCTTTCTCTGCAGATCTCCTGACGGTGGCTGCATTGTTTGGACTGACCCTAACTCTTCTCCTTCCTGCCACGCTCCCTTCTCTGCTCTTTCCAAACACACATGTCATAATTGGGTTAATAAATACATTTGGGGGCCTTCTATGGAATAAGTAGTGGGTATTTGTAAGTATCACCTGCCTAGCACCCTTCCTCTTTCTTCAAACAACGCCCCAACTTTGCTTTAGGGAACCACCTGCACCGCCCCCCCTTCTGGGTAGTCAGTTTCCATTGTCGTCTGTTTCTGTTTCTGCAGGCACCTAGAATTTTCTGGGTCTGAGAGGGAAGCTGACCCCATCTCAGGTCCAGGATTGGATGCTAACTGATCGACACCAGACAACACTTTTTATTACGGGATCGTGGTCGTGGTTCAGGGATTAGCATGTGACCCAAGTGACCCCATGAATGGGAATTTTAGGGTTCTTGTCAAGAATGCTGGGCAGAAACTCCTTTTCTCCACAAAGCCCACCTTGCTGCTGGTGGTGGTGCTCCGGAAGGGAGCAGCCTGAGAACGAGCCTAGCTTTGTAGAAGGTCTGGGAAGAACCCAAGACCTTGATGGTGTTGTTCAGCCTCTCAACGCCTATTTTGCACTTTGCTTATAGGGACCGGTAGGTCTCTTCCCTAATGCATTGACTCAAGAGTTTAGTTATTCGCTGTCAAAAGCATACTAACTGACACACATCTACAGACCTAGAGGGTTCTTAGCCATAGAGTGTGAGTGAATGATGCAAAACTGCTGAGAGTCAATCACTTGATCTACAAAAATACCATTTTCATATGATTCAGCCACATGTAGATCCAAGAAGTCCTTATGGGTTTCTCCATCGCTTCGTAACACCTTTGGCTGCAAGTTACAGAAAACCCAGTCAGCAGTGGCACGAACAATAGGGATCTGTTTTCTCTTAGCAAGAAGTCAGCAGGTAGGCCGTTGTTTTGTTAGAGATGTGGATTGGCCTTGCTGTGATTCTCTTGAGGTGTCCCTTAGGATTGCAAGATGGCCACCAATGGTCTCTGCCCCCTTTATAGGATGAGTAGAAACCTTTCTAGAAGTACCCAATAGATTTCTCATTGGCCAGAAATGTGTCCCATGGCTACTGCAAAGGAGACTGGTAAAGTGTCTTAGGGTGAGCCCAACCCCGCTTCCCAAGATCAGGGAGCCCATCACAACTGCAGCGCCTTCATCAACGTACTTGGCATGGAGAGACCAGCTAATGAAAAGCTTTGTAAAAATTCTATCACCTGCCGAGTACTTTATTCCTCATGACCTAGTGAAGGGAGATTTTTCTGGAATCTGTCAGGGGACACAGTGCATGGGTGGGATATGCCCTGATAGATCCAATACAGTGTCCCTGTCCCCCACAGTCTTTAAATTCCCACTTGCCTGTTATGCCAGAAGATATTTGGCCTTTCAGGAATATTTGATGGGCTAGCATAGGATCGGGATTTGCATTATTCATAAACAACAAAACAAAACAAAACAAAAGCTGTCTGTTCTATCGGCTAGGCAACCATCAGCTGCCTGTTGAAGTTCGGGAACAAAATCTCTGTTGTTTACCCCAGTGACTCTCGAGGTGTCATGAGGGGGGAATTGTCACTGTTCTTGCTACGGCGGAATTTTCCCAAGACTAGGAAGGGTTAGAATTGGATTGTGATCTGAAGGTCAGGGCAGGATGGTAGGATATTATAATGTTCGGGAGGAACAGATGTTAGTCCCTTTAATTTCTGATCATGGGATATCCCCCAAAGAAGTTTCAAGACATGAATTCTCATCATCAGCCAATAAGCCTCTTTCAGGAATGAGGAGGGTCTGGAAGTGGCTGGTTGGGGGGCAGGGAGGCCTGGCCAATACCCCCAAGGATTGGGGTTGGGGAGAGTGGGAAGTGACTGCCAGTGGTCACAGGGTTTTCAGAGTGATGAAAATGTTCTGGAATCAGA